AATAATAATGCTGGGAAACAAACAAACAAACAAGCATGTCATTGACTACCATTACTGGCCATTTACTGTTTCTGGATCAGAAGCATCCTATCTCTGAATATCAATCATTGAGAAAAAGCAAGGGAGTAGTTTCTCTGAGGCATATAGATGGGCTGGGCAGACTGTTACATTCCTCCAACACAACATTCCTTATTGGATTGGGTTTTTCTGAACAAGGGGACCTATGGATCTGAACAGAGACACTCTAGTCATGTGGAGACCCCAGTCTCACTGGCCATCGCACAGACCACAAGAAACCTTAAGATGAAGCAAATGAACAAACAAAAAAACTGCTAACAAAAGGTGGAGTAAGCAACACCCCTAGCCCAAACTCCACAGTTCTGGAATGTGTAGTGTTTTGCCACAGCCAGCAGACACGGAGGAATGAGGTGGGGAATAAACTCCTAAGTAGTTCCCTACGTTGTTTGGAAGGAATCTTGAAATCCAAGCCTTCTCCAGTGCCCAGATAGGATCAGCCCTCTAATTCTTCTATGCTGGCACAATGAGAATGGCAATTCCACATCTCTGGAAGACCCCCATTTGAAAAAGCCCCCCCCGCCGCCAGCCCTTCCACGTTGTCTCTTCAGTAACCAAGGTATGGTCCCAAAGAAAAAAACCTAAATGGCGTTTAACACCTCTCTCTAATTTAAAAGCAGTCTAGCACTGGGTTACAGACTATTGTGTGCCTATAAAAAATCTCCATCCCCTTCTCTCCACTTCTCCACCCTCCTCCCCGTTTCTGCCTCTGGGTAGAGAGAAGCAAAAGATTATAATGTGAATCGGCTAGAAGTTCAGAGCAGCCTCATAAAGATTAATTACAATCAGGGGCCTTTTAGAACATTAATTGCATACTGCGCTGGCATTGTGTGCCAATTGTGTCTTCAGCCAGGGAGAGGTGGGAATGGAAGAGGGAGCTTAACTCCCCTGCTATGCACCTCAGATTCAGAAACAAGGACAGGGGGGTGGGGAGGGAGAAATACAGTATCCAGAAACTGCAGCCCATGGTTCAAGCGCTGGCTTTGGGAAATCCAGGAGAAATCCATTAGGTTCAGTCAGAGGGAGCCCAGGAAGAAAGCTGATCAACAAATCAGCATTTCAAGCAGGCAGAGGGGCAGTGCTCAGCCCTTCCCCTGCTCTGGTCTTCTCACAACTAAGCCCCAATCTAGTTCCCACAGGAATAGCTGTTATAGTAGGACAGTCCTTGAAGAATAACAGTGGATTATAAATCGAGTTTAAAGAGACGGGAAGCCCCAGGCCCAGATTAGAAAACGACGACCCCCTTTCTCGTTCCTTTGTCTTTTGTTATTGTGTATTGCTATTATTAAGGGCAAGGTGAGACACAAATAAGCATTAATAATAAGAATCCGAGACAAAACGCTTATTTTGGGATGCAGGGGGAGGTCAGTCTCTGTAGCCTCTGCAGCCAGTTCTGGCTTCTTCTAGGCCCTTCAGGGTAGGTGAAGATCCGAAGGAGGGAAGTGGGATCTGAAGAAGGAAAAAGATCTGGGAGGTAAATGCCTTTTCCCCTGCCTAACCCCTCTTGCTATGGATGATATTGGAGACCTCAGCCTGAGGAAATGGCTTGCAGATGAGGGCTGGAAGCTTCGTCTGCTTCCAGCGGCACGAGCTCCTCGACCGTCTGCCCGGGCCTGCGCCCTCCCCCGGCGGCCCCCCCCAAAAAAAACTCCAACCAAGGGGAGGGTTCTAGAGCCGGGAAGTAATGATTCCTCCCCTTCGAAAAAGGGGGGAAAGACCCCTCCCCTAAACAAGAAAGACGTTTCATGGTTCCCCGGGACGCAGCATTTCAGCAGCTGGGGATGATGGGCTGGGAAGGGTCTGGTTTGGTCGTGTTCCCCGCTTTCCTGATGTTGAAGTGCAGTTGCTCCTGACCGGGAAAAAGAGACCCTGAGAGCCAACCGCGGCGGCGTAGCGATCGAGGTTGGTTGTCGGAAGGGGTGCGAAGAAACTAGGGTTAAAGATTCCCGCGTCTGAAACCCGTTTTTTTTTAAAAAAAAAAAAAACCCTAAAACTGGGCTTCTGAGAGCCAAGGCGACGCCAGGCTATTCGGCGAGGCAATGGCGCCATCTGGTGGCCATCGACCCATTTCGGCACAAGCAGGGAGCGCCTCGAGCTAATTTTGCACGCCGCCCCTCCCCGACACAAAAAAGATGTTCCACACCCTTTCATCTGTCGCCGAACCATCTAGCAATCTTCTTCGCCCTCCCCTCTTCCAACACGCTCCTTTTATAGTAAGAAAGCTTCTGCATCCCAGCCTCTTCTAATCCCTTTCTGGAGCATCAGATCATCCTTTTCACACACCCACATTCCCAAGGAACTAGGAATCTGCCCCCCCCTTTAGTCCTTCCCTCCCCTCCCCCGAGATAATCTCTATCAATAGAGGTGCAAAAGTGGTGTGAGGCTAACGGGGCATTTCGTTTATTCTCCCCATCCCCCAAGCCCGGCAACGCAAGCATCCCAAAGGAATAAACAAGGGAATGGGAGGAACCCCCATTGGTGCAGCCCAAGCGGGAGAAGCGGGAGGATTAAAACAAAAACAAAAACGGGCGAGCTATAATTGGCACCACCGAGAGACCTGGTGTGGGATGATTCACAGGGCTGGAATTCTGAGATCCTGCCATAAACCCTTTTTAGGAAGGGGCAAATGTGTTTTGTATGCAAAGGGGAAGCGAAGGGAGGGTGAAAGAGGCGGGTCAGGGGAGCATCATCTCTGAATGACTGGGGACAAGAAAACCCTATTTCCCCACAGCTAAAATGCCATCACTGGCCTCTTTCTGAGGGATAGTACAATATATGAGAGAGCATGATACTCATTTTAAAAAAAATAAATTCCGTTTTGCAAAGAGACTGTTACTACAGGAAATTATTTCACATTTCCCCTGAAGTAATCATAATTTTGCCTATCCATACATTCAAGGAAAAGCTGAAAACTTGCGAGGCTTTTGGACGCTCTACTTGCTGATCAAATAAGCTGACAAAAGTGACTTGCAGGTGATTGTGGAAAGCAGGTTCAAAGCAGCAGTGACCACAACCTGAGCCTGCTTACTCAGGCCTGAAGCTGTGACCGAGATTTGCACAAGAGCAGATAATTGTGGGTGCCTCTTAGGTAAATGGGAGGGCTTCCCACAAACGGAGCCAAAAACAGCAGCTCTGCTGCTTCTCAATGGCCCCGGATTCTTTGTTCTTGACCACCTTCCTGGGTCCACTCAGTCAGGAGCCTGGCTGTTCCTGTCTGAAAGCTGCCCTCCGTTCGCCACTGCACTTATTAATTTAATGAAATGTAGATGGCTAAATTAACCTCTTTGATTAGAGAAAAAAATATCTGCATTTATGGCTGACTGGAACCCCTGTAGACTTTTTGCATGAAATGAAAAAAAAAATGGACTTATGATGTGCGGTTTTGACTAGATAATAAGGAAAGGTGACCTTTTTTTTTTTTGTAATCATAGATAATGTTGTAATTGCACTTATATTTGCTGGAAAGAAAATTGGAAACTTCTATTTCTTTTTATTCTTTCTTTTTGTGCTTTTTTCTTCTTTGTTGCTGTTACTCTTTATTCGTTGGCTTATGTCCTTTGTAAAACTTCATAAAAATTGTTTTTTAAAAAAATTAATTAAATGTAGAGGTCCAAAGAGCTTTGAACAGCTTCAGCTGCAGTTCAGTCGATGATTTTTTTTCTAAAATACAAAAGCCATGATACCTGGCAAAAGCAGGGTACCCCTCTTTGGGAAAGTTTACTCAGGGCCCCCTAGTAACTCTTTTCCCTCTTCACCCCTTTTTCTTTTCATATCATGTTAGACCAGTGCTGGCGAATCTATGGCACGTGTGCCAGAGGCGGCACTCAGAGCCCTCTCTGTGGGCACGCACGCCATCGCCCCAGCAGAGTTCACCAGAGTAGCAAGAATGTGGTGTTTGGAAGTGACAGGGCAGGAAGTGAGCGAGCAAGCAGCATTGGCCCCTGGGAATGCCCCAGAGATGGCGAGGGACTGGTCCCCACTACCTGGTCCTGGCCCACCCACCCCGGCCACGCCCACCCAGTCTGCCATGACCACCGCAGCTGTAATCACCACAGCTATGCCCACCCAGCAGCCTTGCCCACCCAGTGGGCCACGCCCCCTGCTCCTCCTGAGAGCACCACAATGCTGATGCGGCCCTGGCACTTTGCAATAAATAAGTGCGTTTGGGGTTGCAGTTTGGGCACTCGGTCTCTAAAAGGTTCGCCATCACTGTGTTAGACTGTAAGCTTCTGGGCGGGAACTATAGACTTATAGACTTTTCAATCTATAAAGTCTCTCTGAAGTCAAACTCAGTTTCTGAAGATTTCATATCCATGTTCATGCAGTTTCCTTGGCAAGAATACAAAATGGCTTGTCCTTCCCTTCTTTCAGGGATGTTTTTAGCCTTCTCATTCTCGCCTACCCTCTTGGTGTTTCCTGACGGTCTCGCCTCCAAGTATTAACCTGGCCTGATCCTGCTTACTTTTTGCCAAGAACAGGTAGGTGCTGCCACTAAGTATGAGTTTTAATCTATATTCTGCACATAACACACCTTAAGCACTTTATAAATAATTACCATAATAAACACCAAAGAAGAGTGTTTTGGTTTTGATCTCAGGAGACGGGCCTCAATAATTCAGCGCAATCAAGGAATTGACATGCACCTCCCAATCCACCAAACAAATTGATTTTATAAGGTTGTTGCAAGGCACCAACGTTATTCCCTTATTTTCCAAGAGGGGGCTTTTTTGAAGGAGAAGAGGTAGAAGAAATCGGCAGAAAGAGGAATGGATGGAAAGATGGAATGCACAGGAGTGGGTGGAGCAGAGGGGTTGAGTAGCAGAAAGCATTCAAGACACAACAAAATGTAGCCAGTCTATTGCTTGACTTGGCACAATCTTGACCCAGTCTAGACTCTTACCCCCCTCCCCCCCACACACACTTACCCACATTCCATCCTGGAAAGAGATAATCACACATCTATTTTTCTGGGCCTGCTCTAACAAAAAGACTCCCCACGCACCGCACCGCACCAAAAGATACTTTCAGCCAGCTTTTCTACTAGCTGAGCAAAAGAGGAAAAATTTCCCCTCCCACTATAGATTCCTGAAATCACCACAATAAGGGGAAATAGCTGGAGCCTGCCAAGGAAGAGAGGAATTGGGAGAAAGATCGGTGTTTTCTTTTCCACCGGCAGGAGCGTTCCAAACATCTGCTTGGGGTGACTTCTGGCAAAATAACGATGCAGAATCTGGGCCAGTAATTGCCTTGAACTAAAAACATCAAAGAGTGGAAAAACTACTGCAAGCTTCCCTTGTGTCCATAGATTTCCCATTGTCATTTCCTTTAGTCACAAAGGCTTGATGGCCAACCTGTGTCAGGTCTGTAGTTCTTTGATCAGGTGATTCCCTCACCTGTTGCTTGAAGAATCCACTGGGTTGAGGTGATGAACATCCTAGATCTAGTTCAGGCTGACCTCTCAGAAAGCCAGTACTGAATGGCCAATGCTGTCATACTATCAACAGCAAAGAAAGAGCCAGGAGGATTGGAGACTAAATTGTATGATGATTGGCTAAGGAAACTAGATATGTTTAGTCTTAACGAAAAGAAGGCTTAGTGGAGACATGATAGCAATCTTCCAATACCTGAAGGGCTGTCACAGAGAAGAGGGCACTGGTTTATTTTCCATAGCACCTGAGGGCAGGACAAGAAGCAATGGCTGGAAACTCATCAGAGGGAGATTGGACCTGGAAATTGTTCTCCTGACTATTAGAGAATAATTATTAAATAGAAATAGCTTTCCTTCTGGAGTTGTGGGTGCTCCATCACTGGAAGTTTTCAAGAAAAGATTGGAAAACCATTTGTCTAGGATGGCATAAGGATTCCTGCCTTGGACAGGGGGTTGGACTAGAGCAGGGCTTTTCAACCAGTGGTACGGGTACCACCTGTGGTACGTGACCATCCTAGAAAAGTGGTAGCGGGGGAGGGGAATGAGCTGAACTGGTGGCAGCACCGCACAAGCCTGAGCGAGAAATTGCTGGAGCTGCAGGGCTTTCAGGGCTCAGTGGAAGCGCCAGGATCAGTGTTGCTTTCCAGCTGATCAGCGCTTATTTGGGGCTGTCAGGGCTCAGTGGAAGTGCCAGGATCAGCGCCAGGCTCCAGCTGGAGCTCGGCGCTGATCCTGGCGCTTCTGCTGAGCCCAGAAGAAGCGCCGATCAGCTGGAATGTTGCAGCATCTCCAGGGTCTTGTGATTTACATTCAGATGCTTGGGCAATTGATTCATATTTATGACGGTCACAGTGTCCCAGGATCATGTGAAGTGACCAAAACCTGCTGCAACCACCCAGCAGATGGGGGGAATAAAAACCAAACACCCCCACCCCACCCCCGCTGCCAATCCTCAACAGAAATGCTCACAACAATGGAAACCTCAGATAGAAAGAAGAGTGCCACCGGGCGGGCAGGCAGGTGTCTTGCTTGGATGTGGCTTGGGGGGCACTTTTTTCAGTGCCATTGTAACTTCGAACAGTCACTAAGTGAACTGTTGTAAGTCGAGGATTACCTGTACTTTATCACTTTTTTCCTTTTTTTTCTTTTTTTGGGGGGGGGTCATCAAGATTTTGACACCTTGCTAGGCGACTGGTGGTACTCGGATATTGCCATATCCTAAAAGTGGTGCAATAGGTGAAAAGGTTGAAAAGCCCTGGACTAGAGGACCTTTAAGGTCCCTTCCAGCCCTATGATTCTAAGTCTGGAACTCCACAGAAGACCTTTTATACAGCACATATTACTTTTCTATAATTAAAATTTGTTTTATGCGGTAGAACAAATGTTCAATCACAGGAAATCCAAGATCTTATGAATACAAGGTTAAAGCCTGCAGGATCACAACAACTTAGGGATAATTTAAAAGTACAATCACAGAATTTAAAAGCACGCTGATTAAAAATGAGAAGGCTTAGTCAACTTTGAAGTCTAATAATGCAGCACTCCAAGGATTACTCTTAGTCCCGTATATGTAAATGAACATGCAGCCCATAGTAATAAATAGTGCAATAAGACAGTTGGTCTTGCACAAATCACTCTCTCTGCTAAAAATAAGATAAATGCTTATGCTAAGAATGAGATGCTAGAGAAATTTCAGCACATTTTAACTACATGAATACAGTCTGAAGCTCTACCGCTACTGTGCACTAACAGTCCCTGTAGGAATTTAACCATCAAGAAATGAATTTAGATTGTGGCCACATGATGGAAATTGGTAGCCCTTTTCCCTATTTCAGTGGTTCTCAACCTTTTTAATGCCGCGACAAACCGGTCGTAAGTCGAGGACTACTCAACCGGTCGTAAGTCGAGGACTACTCAACTGGTGCAGCACCGTTTGCAGAATGGGACTTTTGGTGGGCTCAGCAGGGCAGAGACAGCCTGGACAATTCCTATTGGCTTTTGAAAGCCAATAGAATTAGACTCTATTCAAGAGAGTCTATTCTATTGGCTTTCAAAAGCCAATAGAATAAAAGGGAGTAGCACAGCTAAGGAAAAGGGGGGGGGAAATGGCGGACTGCATTGTTTGGAGACCCCCGTGAAATGGTCGTTCGACCCCAAATGGGGTCCCGACCCACAGGTTGAGAACCACTGCCCTATTTTAAAGTCACATATATGCAGAAACAATCTATTCTGAACTTCAGGTAGTCAAGCAATCTTCAGGGCCAACATTTTTGTTCCAATAATTACTTTTTTTTTCATTATCTGACCGTTAGGGTACCGATGCAGAGGCTCTAGGATGGTATAAATATGGAGTGGAGTGGGAGCAGGCTGGTGGATCTGCAGCTTCTGTTGAATTATCCATATGAATCAGCGACCAATTTCATCTATCACGTTGGACCTTGTTTAACATCAGCTTTAAGGTTCTCTTACTCTTGATATATAAAGAGTTGATATTATAAAGAGTGCAGAAAAGACCAACAGAAATTATTAGGGGGCTGGAGTCTAAAACATATGAAGAATGGGGTATGTCCAGTCTAATGAAAAGAAGGGGAGGCATGATAGGAGTGTTCCAATATTTGAGGGGCTCCTACAAAGACGAGGGGGTCAAACTATTTTCCAAAGCACCAAAAGGCAAGACGAGAAACAATGGATGGAAACTAAGTAAGGAGAGAAGCAACCTAGAACATAGAAGACATTTCCTAATGGCGAGAGCAATCAACCAATGGAACAACTCACCTTCAGAAGTTGTGGGTGCTCCTTCACTGGAAGCTTTCAAAAAGAGACTGGACAATTGTTTACCTGAATTGGTATAGGGCAGTGATAGCGAACCTATGGCACGCATGCCAGAGGCGGCATTCAGAGCCCTCTCTATGGGCACATGCGCCATGCCCTGGAGATGGCAACCATCCCTCTTCAACCAGCCGCCCGCTAACTCGCCGAGGACCCACGTGGCCAGATGCATCCCAGCACCATGCACTCACTGGCCTCTGTGGGGGGGGGGCTGATGGTGTCAGGCAGCAGCTGCCCTGGCCCCTGCCTCGCCTTGCCCTGTGACAATGGCACTCCCACCCTGCCTCACCTTGCCTCGCTTCACCCACCAGGACAAGCCTCCTGCCCACTGCCCCACCTCCCAGAGACCCCCTGGATCCCCCCCAACCCTGCCTGGCCCCCACAGGCATCCGTCCCCACGAGTAACATCAAAGTGATCACACCCACCTTGGCCACATCCACCCAGTCTGCCATGACCACCATTGCCATGACCACCCAGTGGGCCACGCCCACCTGGCACCCGGTGATAAATAAGTAGTTTTGGGTTGCAGTTTGGGCACTCGGTCTCTAAACGGTTCGCCATCACTGGTATAGGGTCTCCTGCTCAAGCAGGAGGTTGGACTAGAAGACCTCCAAGGTCCCTCCCAAGTCTATTATTCTATGCTCTACTACACTTCTTGACTTTTGAGCTTTAGACTGGAAGGTTTTTGGTAGGTATTGCTGGTGGGTGGGTGTTAACCCGGGTGGCACCTTTTATTTCCCAGTTAAGAGATGGGAACCTAGGTGTGTAATATGGGCCAACTTACCTTGTTAGAGCATTATTTTTTACCTGAATCCCCACTCCCTACTATCTGGATAAGAACCAGGTAATTAGTAGATGGGGTGGAAAGTATAGGTTGGAGGTGGCTAGAAAGAAAATGGGAAGGCTGGTTAGCTGGCACTGCTGACTAAGGGGATGCTGAGTGCTCATCAGGAACATCCCTGAACTTAGCACTAGCTCCAGGTGGTATGGCTGGAGGTTCAAGAGGTTGGAAGGGAAACAGATGGGGTTGAAGGGTTTGGAATGAATGGGAAGAAGAGGAAAACAAAAGTATAGTGATGGTGACTGGCAAGATTGGCAGGAATCAAATTGGCAGGAATCAGAAGCAGGTTGCTTACACTACAGGGAAGGTGACCTCAGTATTTAGTTCTGATATCTTCAAGCCCATTGTGTTCTACCCCAAGCCATGAAACCAGGGCTTCAGAGCATCTGACATTGACCTAAAATTACTTGATGCACGCTCAGCCTGTAACAAAGTTCCTTCATCCATGATTTAATTGTAAATGAGAGCTGACATTGTCTGCAGTACCAAAACGTGACTTGGCATGGGGCAGAGGTGTCGGGACCCCTGTCAGAGATCTGCCTTGCTAGATTTGATGTGTGATATCGGTCACCAGCCCAAGCCTACTGTAAGAATGAAGCCATTGTCATCTGAGAAACCTGCTAAATTCTAGGGTTGCTGCTCTAGAAGTAGCTGGTTGTGAGATTCTGTTTGCAAAGTTGGGTTATAAGAATCGGGGGATAGAGATGCACAGAATGAATCTGATTAAACCAGTGTAAGTGCATTTCTTAGGCTTTACATGCTACAGATAACAATGATACAGATAACAAAGTAGTTATTTTTCTGGCTTTCTTGCATCCAGAGAGAGCCAGTTGGTGGTCCTATTTAAGACGACCCAGTCCTTCCTGGGTACAGAAGACACAGTGGATACTGATAGGGCCACTATGAGGATTATTCCAAGTATCTGTCATATACTTGCTTGG